ATTCATACAAAACAAAAAAAAAAAAGATATTAATGTTTATGGAGACAAAACAGCCAGTAAGGCAGCCACTACAACAACAACACAAACAAGCAATAAATGATGTTTTGTTTTTGGCCGATAAGAGTTATTGGTTAGATGTATGGTTGGCATATTGGTTACACCTTAATTTGTCCAAAGCTTGTTTAATTCCATACACCATTGAATAGAAATATCAAGTTAAGAAAACTAAAATTAAAAACAAGAAAAAATAGCTTAGAGTTTGGTCAATAATTTATTAACTCAAAGAAATCAATGGGTGTTTATTTTACGCATAAACCACATTTGTAGTGGATTGAAAGTGAAGCGGATTTTAAGAAAGTTAATTGAACGAAAGTAATATTTTTATTAAACATGAGAGACAATCAACATTTGAAGTTAGTTTTAGGCTGACGATAAAATTTTAATTACAAATATGTTATAGATCCGCAATTAGTGCTTGTTGCAAAAGTTATCTAATTTGTAATAAAATTTTGCCATTTGCAAGAGTTTTACAAGTTGGGATTGATGTGTTTTAATGGTCTGGGAAAAAGTTTTTACTATTTTAGATTAGGTAATATTTAGATTGGAGTCGTAAATTACATTAAGAGGAGTTAATTTCCTTTTAAAACAGTTGCAAAGAAAAAAATTACACTTTTCATTCCCAAAAATGTTTCTTTTTATCTTTGACGACTTACATTCCAAGCTTTCCAGTCAGAATAGACCAAAATATAGAAGAGATAATAGACTAGACTATCGACTAGACTAGACTATAGACTAGATTATATACTAGACTATAGACTGGATTATAGACTAAGACTAGACTATAGATTAGACTAGTCTATAGACTAGACTATAGACTAGACTATAGACTAGAATATAGACTAGACTATAGACTAGACTATAGACTAGACTATAGACTAGACTATAGACTAGACTATAGACTAGACTATAGACTAGACTATAGACTAGACTATAGACTAGACTATGGACTAGACTATAGACTAGACTATAGACTAGACTATAGACTAGACTATGGACTAGACTATAGACTAGACTATAGACTAGACTATGGACTAGACTATAGACTAGACTATAGACTAGACTATAGACTAGACTATAGACTAGACTATAGACTGACTATAGACTAGACTATAGACTAGACTAGACTATAGACTAGACTATAGACTAGACTATAGACTAGACTATAGACTAGACTATAGACTAGACTATAGACTAGACTATAAACTAGACTATATCGACTTAGACTATAGACTAGACTATAGACTAGACTATAGACTAGACTATAGACTAGACTATAGACTAGACTATAGACTAGACTATAGACTAGATATAGACTAATAGACTAGACTATAGACTAGACTATAGACTAGACTATATACTAGACTATAGACTAGACTATAGACTAGACTATAGACTAGACTATGACTAGACTATAGACTAGACTATATACTAGACGATAAGACTAGACTAAGACTAGACTATAGACTAGGACTATAGACTGACTATAGACTAGACTATAGACTAACTATGACTAGACTATAGACTTAAGACTATATGACTAGAACTATAGACTAGACTATAGACTAGACTATAGACTAGACTATAGACTAGACTATAGACTAGACTATAGACTAGATATAGACTAGACTATAGACTAGACTATAGATTCTAGACTATAGACTAGACTATAGACTAGGACTATAGACTAGACTATAGACAACTATAGACTAGACTATAGAACTAGACTAATAGACTAGACTATAGACTAGACTATAGACTAGACTATAGACTAGACTATAGACTAGACTATAGACTAGACTATAGACTAGACTATAGACTAGACTATAGACTAGACTATAGACTAGACTATAGACTAGACTATAGACTAGACTATAGACTAGACTATAGACTAGACTATAGACTAGACTATAGACTAGACTATAGACTAGACTATAGACTAGACTATAGACTAGACTATAGACTAGACTATAGACTAGACTATAGACTATAGACTAGACTATAGACTAGACTATAGACTAGACTATAGACTAGACTATAGACTAGACTATAGACTAGACTATAGACTAGACTATAGACTAGACTATAGACTAGACTATAGACTAGACTATAGACTAGACTATAGACTAGACTATAGACTAGACTATAGACTAGACTATAGACTAGACTATAGACTAGACTATAGACTAGACTATAGACTAGACTATAGACTAGACTATAGACTAGACTATAGACTAGACTATAGACTAGACTATAGACTAGACTATAGACTAGACTATAGACTAGACTATAGACTAGACTATAGACTAGACTATAGACTAGACTATAGACTAGACTATAGACTAGACTATAGACTAGTATAGACTAGACTATAGACTAGACTATAGACTAGACTATAGACTAGACTATAGACTAGTCTATAAAAGGAGAATTTCCTATAGAAAGAGAAATTTTCGAAAATTTTCAAAAGAGAAATTTTCGAAAATTTTCAAAAGAGAATTTTTCGAAAATTTTCTATAGAAAGAGAATTCTTTTAAAATTTTCTATAGAGAGAATTTTTCGAAAATTTATTATAGAAAGAGATTTTCGAAAATTTTCTATAAAAAGAGAATTTTTCAATAATTTTCTATAGAAAGAAAATTTTTGAAAGTTATCTATAGAAAGAGAACTTTTCGAAAATATTCTATAGAAAGAGAATTTTTCGAAAATTTTCTATTAAAAGAGAGTTTTCGAAAGTTGTCTATAGAAAGAGAATTTTTCAAAAATTTTCTATAAAAAGAGAAATTTTCTATAAAAATAGAAATTTTAGACTAGACTATAGACTAGACTATAGACTAGACTATAGACTAGACTATAGACTAGACTATAGACTAGACTATAGACTAGACTATAGAGACTATAGACTAGACTATAGACTAGACTATAGACTAGACTATAGACTAGACTATAGACTAGACTATAGACTAGACTATAGACTAGACTAGACTATAGACTAGACTATAGACTAGACTAGACTATAGACTAGACTAGACTAGACTAGACTAGACTAGACTATAGACTAGACTATAGACTAGACTATAGACTAGACTATAGACTAGACTATAGACTAGACTATAGACTAGACTATAGACTAGACTATAGACTAGACTATAGACTAGACTATAGACTAGACTATAGACTAGACTATAGACTAGACTATAGACTAGACTATAGACTAGACTATAGACTAGACTATAGACTAGACTATAGACTAGACTATAGACTAGACTATAGACTAGACTAATAGACTAGACTATAGGACTAGACTATAGACTAGACTATAACTAGACTATAGATACTATAGCTGACTATAGACTAGACTATATTAGACTATCGACTTGACATAGACTTGACTTAGAATTGACTATAGGTTGACTATAGACTTGACATAGACTTGACTATAGAATTGACTATAGGTTTGACTATAGACTTGACTATAGACATGACTATAGACTAGATTTTATAGTAGATTCTCGACTAGACTATAGACTAGACTAAAGACTAAACTATATACCAGACTATAGACTGGACTATACACTATATTATAGACAAGACTAAGACTAAAAGAAAACGATACTTGCTCTTTTGCCGATTGTGAGTCGGGTTGTTTTAAGATAAAATTTGACATAAGTGTTTAAACAATAACGCAGTACAACTGTTCTGATTTTCTGAATGTAAAACAAATATTTTTTTCGGAAATTATCGACCGCATACTGGGTAATGCGTTGACATGATTGGTTTGCTGGAGAACTGTCGCAAGGAGTGAGTTAGAATGGTTAAAAAGGGAAAACCAAATAATAATAATATCTGCCTAATTTTCGGAAAATTGGATAGAAATTTCTTTTAGTTTTCAATGCATTTTCGAAACTTTCCACATAGTAGTTCATTGAACCCACAAACGTACATTTACATCTTAGTATAACCCATAATATTTACAACCATCGACTATTATACACATTCAAGTTCAAGGATAATTACAAAATTATAATTTCACAAAGTCTAGGTGAATGATTGTTGTGGTAACAAAGAGAGAAAAAAACATTACAGAAAACTTAAGAAAACTAAATCAAAAAGTCAACTTTGCACAAGTTAAACTACAACTAGAAAATTATAATAAAAAAGAAAAAACTAAATGATGAAAAACAAGCATAATTTTCAAAACACTTACCTTTTAGCATTTGCAGCGGCATTACCAGCTAAAGTATGAAAATCGTGACCGGCACCATTTAAATCATGATATTGTGAAGGATGATGTTGATCATCATCATCATCACTATAGACAACACCATCAACACGCTGATACTGCTGCTGCTGCTGATGATGATCATCATCTTCATTACTATGATGAATATCATCACTATCAAAATCATTTAACTCAGATGGAAATAGTTTTATGGCACCATCAGTATGACGTCTCGGTTTATCGTCACGCAAACGTCTATGTTTACGAGAATAACGATCAGTTTTAAGAGAATGCTGTTGTTGCTGCAGCTGATCTTGTTCTAGCTGTTGGTTGCTGGTGATTGCAGTCGTGGTTGTGTTGTTGGTGCCAGCACCTGTATGTGGTTGATCATGTAGCGAACTACTACTCAAATGCATGTGAATGGGTTCTACACTTAAAGTGGTGGTATTTGATGATAATGATGGATTTGATGAAGTCGATTGTGGTTGTGCTGCATGATTAGCATTAGAACTTGGCAAAGTTTTACTACCACTACTGGACTTGACACATACTAAGGATTCTTTATTGTTCTTTTTTGATATGTCGGATAATGAGTCATGACTGTTATGATTTGCCAGACCCGGCGGTAGTGAAGAGGATTTGGTCTGTTGTAATTCATCCCAAAGATTTCCCTTTTTGTGCGAGTTGCGCATGCGGAAGTTTTTGCGTGAACAACCACCCTCTAAGCGATGGATTTCATCGTCATCATCATCGCTGAGATCATTGATAAAAATGGTATTTGGTGAGTATTTATCGTACGTTTCTTCTGTTGCAGGGCTGATCTGTGCTGAGGGTGATCGCCACCTGAAGAATTATTGGCCAAACCACCGGACATATTGGAATTATTGCTACTGGCCACTGAAGTCTTAGTTTGTCGTGACACGGATCGAGAATGTGATCTACGAGATCTACTTGTGGTGGTGGTGGTGTGTGCTTTCTCGTCGTCGTGACTAAGCGATGGCGAAGAATCTTCGTCGTTTGTAGTGGTGGTGGCTATATCGAGACCTTTTTCTTTGCATATTATATCATACAGAGCACTAATTGGACGCGATTCACTACGTACCCTTACGGCCCGTTTACGATTTGCAAAACGCTGAGTATTACGACTACGACCCGTTACCGTCTGTTGTGGAGGCAATTCGGCGTCGGCTGTAACACAAGGTTTAAAATTGGTACAAGCAAAAACTACACTACCATCGGCCGCCTGAATCGGTGCCGCTAATGGTAGATGACTATTATCTGCGTCTACAATAAAATCTGAGGGTGAACTACTATTACCTTTGATAGGTTTCTGCGATCTTCTGTTTGACGGCATAAAAGAAGGATCGTTGCGATTCTGTTGTCTCTGCTGATCGCTGTGAGTGTAAGCCCCACGAAAAAATGTTCCTGTATTTTCTTCAACTTCCTTCGATAATTTTTGCTGAGGACTTATGGATAGTGGTGGTGCTGGAAGAGTTGCTGTTGTCGTTTTCGGAAATTGATGTTCGTCTTTGATGAGTTTCGATGGTGTCCTATAGACACTTTGATAATTTTCATTAACCGAATCTTTAGCTTCGGGTGTATGGATCTTTAGATGAAGATCTGTATAGTAAGCTGGTGCTGTATGATGATGAAAGTGCGGATGATGTCCTTGATAACGTTTGGGTAATTTTCTCGATTGTGGTTTAGATGTTGATGATGATTCCTGTTGTGTTGACTGTTGTGATTGCGATTGCTGTTGTTGTTGCTGGCAGCTAGTTTTGGCAGTGGCTGAATTTGATGAACTTAAGTCATTCACAGAAACGTCAGTAGCGGATTCTGTAAGATAAGAAAACACATAATAAGTATAAGGAATTGTTTTTAATTTTATTAAAATTTCTCTATAAATTTAGTGGTTTTTTTTAAATTTTTTTTCTAATATTTTTTTAAATTAGAGACTTTCAACACTATTTTCTAAAATAATGAATTTTTCAAAAGTTTTCTAAAAAAGATAATTTTTAAAAAATTTTCTATAAAAACAGAATTTTTCGAAAATTTTCTTTAGAAAGAGAATTTTTCACAAATTTTTTAGAAAGAGAATTTTTCGAAATTTTTTTATTAAAAGAGATTTTTTCAAAAATTTCCTATAGAAAAGAATTTTTCGAAAATTTCCTGTAGAAAGAGAATTTTTCGAAAATTTCCTATAAAAAGAAAATTTTCTTTAGAAAGAAAATATTTCGAAAATTTTCTATAGAAACAGAATTTTTTGAAAATTTCCTTTAGAAAGAGAATTTTCTATAAAAGGCGATTTTTTTGAAAATCTTCTATAGAAAGGAAATTTTTCGAAAATTTTCTTTAGACATTTTTTATAGAAACAGAATTTTTCGAAAAATTTCTATAGAAAGAGAATTTTTCGATAATTTTCTAAAGAAAAAGAGTTTTTTGAAAATTTTCTACAGAAAGAAAATTTCTAGAAAATTTTCTATAGAAAGAGAATTTTTCAAAAAATTTCTATAGAAAGAGATTTTTGAAAAATTTCTATAGAAAGAGAATTTTTCGAAAATTTTCTATAGAAAGAGATTTTCGAAAACTTTTATAGATAGAGAATTTTTTTAAAAAATTTTCTATAAAAAAAGAGAATTTTTCGAAAATTTTCTATAAAAAAAGAGAATTTTTCGAAAATTTTCTATAAAAAAAGAGAATTTTTCGAAAATGTTCTATAAAAAGAGAATTTTTTTAAAATGTTCTATAAAAAGAAAATATTTCGAAAATTTTCTATAGAATGAGATTTTTTCGAAAATTTCCTATAGAAAGAGAAATTTTCGAAAATTTTCAAAAGAAAGAGAATTTTTCGAAAATTTTCTATAGAAAGAGAATTTTTTGAAAATTTTCTATAAAAAGAAAAATTTTTCGAAAATTTCCTGTAGAAAGAGAATTTTTCTAAAATTTCTTATAGAAAGAGAATTTTTCGAAAATTTTCTATTAAAAGAGAGTTTTCGAAAGTTGTCTATAGAAAGAGAATTTTTCGAAAATTTTCTATAGAAAGAGAATTTTTCGAAAATTTTCTATAGAAAGAGAAATTTTCAAAAATTTTCTATAAAAAGAGAAATTTTTCGAAAAATTTCTATAGAAAGATAATAATCCCCAATTTTTTCGAACATTTTATATAAAAAGAGAATTTTTTCGAAAATTTTCTATAGAAGAATATTTCGAAAATTTTCTATAGAAAGAGAATTTTTCGAAAATTTTTTATAGAAAGAGCATTTTTAGAAAATTTTCTATAGAAAGAGAATTTTTGAAAATTTTCTATAAAAAGAGAATTTTTTGAAAATTTTCTATAAAAAGAAAATTTTTTGGAAAATTTCCTGTAGAAAGAGAATTTTTCTAAAATTTCTTATAGAAAGAGAATTTTTCGAAAATTTCTTTTAGAAAAAGAATTTTTTGTAAAATTTTTATAGGAAGAAAATTTTTCGAATATTTCTTATTGAAGAGAATTTTTCGAAAATTTTCTATTAAAAGAGAGTTTTTGAAAGTTGTCTATAGAAGATTTTTTTTCTATATAAAAGAGAAATTTTTCGAAAAATTTCTATAGAAAGATAATAATCCCCAATTTTTTCGAACATTTTCTATAAAAAGAGAATTTTTCGAAAATTTTCTATAGAAGAATATTTCGAAAATTTTTTATTGAAAGAGAATTATTCGAAAAATTTCCTATAGAAAAAGAATTATTCGAAAATTTCTATAGAAAGAGAATTTTTTGAAAATTTTCTATAGAAAGAAAATTTTTCGAAAATTTTCTATGGAAAGAGAATTTTTCGAAAACTTTCTATTAAAAGAGGATTTTTCGTAAATGTTCTTTAGAAAGAGGACTCTTCGAACATTTTCTATAGAAAGAGAATATTTCGAAAACTTTCTATAGAAAGAGAATTTTTGTTTAATCTTCAATACAAAGAGAATTTTTCGAAATTTCCTTCAGAAAGAGAATTTTTCGCAAATTTTCTATAGAAAGAGAAAAAAAATTTAAATTTTCTAAAAAAGTAGAGAACGACATTTTTTCTAAAATAATAGACATTTCTCGAAAACTTTCTCTGGGGATTTTGAATAGTTAACATTCGTAAAAAATTCCTGCCAACTTTATGGTCTGAATTTCTTGCATGAAAACTCTACTTAACAGTAAATGTACTTGTATGTAGTGGTAGTTGTATTTCATTTATTGTACGATTGTATGAGCATCCCACAGATTTGAATTAGCACTTCAGAAACTTTTTCGTCATAACTTTAGTTTACCTTCAACTACAATAAAAAAGTTAAATACTATTTCTGTGAAAAAAAAATATCCACTTCAGTTTACAAATAAAAAAAAAAGCTCATTAACAACTCAATGCTAGAAGTATCTACAAAAAACACCAACACATGATGGGAAAATAAATGTTTAAATAAAATACTTAATAATATTTAAAGCGAAAACAATAATAATATCAAGAGAATTTAAATTTAAAAATATATGTTTTTATTTAAAAAAATCATTATTAAACTAGATCAATTAAACATTTTCTTTACCGTAAGGTTTCAAAAATACATTTGTAGTTTTTTTTATTATGACGTAAGTAAATAATATCTTTATTAATTTATAGAAGTTAAAAAAAAATAAATACTGTCTTAGTGCCTGTCATATACATTAAGTACTTAAAATACATATATATGTAGGTGTAGGGTATAAATAAAATTCCCAATTGAAAAATATACTTATTGACGAACAAATTTGTCATTAGTTTTAAAATAGATCATAGTTGATAAGAAAATAATAATTAGCACTTTTCTATTTCTACGAAGTGAACAAAAAAATTTGCCATAGAAACAGCTGCACAAAAATTCAATTCAACAAATTTACTAAATAAATCCATGAATTTAAAACAGTCATGGGCAGTTTTTCAAATCACATATACATACGTACACAAGACGCCTCAAGATATGCACTATAAACTTCTCAAGATATGCACTATATACTTAACTCCTGTTAAAAAGAGTTTTTCCTATATTGCTTCACACTTTCTCGTATGCTAGTATGTGAATTGCCCCTCACTGCCTTAAAATAACTGCAGTAAATGTATAATTTTCTTTGAATATGTTTAAAATTATTTCCTCTCCAACTGTGTTTTTAGCTGTAAATTCTAAAGTCAACACTAAAACTTATTAAAAAGTTATCTCTAGAAGTATTCTTTTTTTAACATCCACTTGCAGATAGAAATTATTATAGTTTTATAATATTCATAAGAAACTATTAGAACTTTTTGTATAAGTTGTTTAATTAAAATAGTTAAAAACTTTGCTAAAGTAAATTGATTTAAACAAGTTCAACAGTAACAGCAAGAGATTTAATGGAAATTACTAAATAAGTAGCAAATGTCAAATATTATCAAAAAAATACAAAAAAAAATAGGTTAATTCATCTATAATACGTTGAAAAAATTTTAAAAAATATTTACAAATCCATTTCATATTTCTACTCGTTCCTATTATTTTTTCCACACACTGTAAAAATTTAAAACTAAAAAGTGAAATTTTTTAAAATCATAATATTTGAATGAAAAAAAAACATCCACAAAAAATTAACCAACAAAAATTTATTTGACATTTGTCTGGACAATAATCGTGTAACTAATAAATTTTATTATAAAAACTAATACAATATTTTATGCTTGAGAAAAAGATATAATACATTTAACAACAACAACAACTTTAACAATAAAAACAATTAAATAAACAAATAAATTTAGACTAAGCCAATTTATAAGAAATTTCACAAAATAAAATAACAAAAACACCCACAAAAAATAAAGCAAATACGTTTCGTATGAAATTAATTGTAATGAAATCCAATGAAAACCATTTGTTTTAAACAAAAAAAAAAAAATAACAATAAAATGCCTTTTTAAACATACTATTTTATGCCAACAATAAGAACAAATTGGCCTAAAAGTAAAAAAGAGTAAAATAAGTGAGAATGTTCTGAAAAGTTGGGGACGAATTTTAAGGGCCCACCACAATAATGTTAAGAATTCGGAAAATTTTTTTTCTAATTTTAATCACGCCTACTAGGTAAACACCTTACGAAATTTTGATAATCTATGAAAGAGTCTGCAGCTGGGCTAAGGTCACAGTTATATATTTTAATGTAATCTAGATAGAAAGAGGGAGAGAGAGTTAGACAGATAGAGAGATAGATATATAGATAGATAAATAGATAGATAGATAGATAGGTAGATAGATAAATAGATAGATAGATAGATAGATAGATAGATAGATAGATAGATAGATAGATAGATAGATAGATAGATAGATAGATAGATAGATAGATAGATAGATAGATAGATAGATAGATAGATAGATAGTTAGATAGTTAGATAGTTAGATAGATAGATAGATAGATAGATAGATAGATATAGATAGATAGATAGATAGATAGATAGATAGATAGATAGATGATAGATAGATAGATAGATAGATAGATAGATAGATAGATAGATGATAGATAGATAGATAGATAGATAGATATAGATAGATATAGATAGGTAGATAGATAGATATAGATAGATAGATAGATAGATATATATAGATATATCGATAGATAG